TTACTATGGCCCAGATAAATTAACCTTCACCTCACGCCGGCCTGTAACCTCCCCGTCTCCTTACAGCACACGACATGTCCGCTGCGAGCCCCCATTTCCGCTCTGAACACGTTTTTCTGTGGGCGCTCTTTTTCGTTCGTGTGCTGATTTTTGTTTGTGTTGTGTGGGCTTTTTGTGCTGTTTGTTTGTTTGTGCTCTCCTGTTTTGACTGTTGCGTGTTACGCTTCGGAGGCAAGCGCATGACTTCACTGACATTCGGGCTTGTGTCCACTGGGGGGCAGCAGAGAGCGCACATGCGTCGATGACGTGGAGTATGAGTAGCTGAGGCGGTGGTGTTTCTATACGCAATCACAGACAGTTAAGACAACCCGCCTCAGTACAGGCGAACGAATCCGATTTAATTTCTCTTGCGGACAGGGGGGTGAAAATTGGGGGACGCCGGTTAATTGTCCTATATTCAACACAATCTCGATTTTGGCCCTTTTTACGTTATTATTAACATTACCTACGCCCACACAACCGTACAAACGTGGAGCCCGAACAAAACACAAAGCATAAACTATAACACTGCTATCCGGCGAATTGTGCGTTGTTAGCATGCGATGTTGCTTTGTATGCTACCAAGTACAAGCGTCTTGTGTAAATAGCTAAACCCACAGGCCTAAGGGAGAAAGCACATTAGCTGGGAGTTAGATTTACTTTACGCGAATTTATTTTTATTCCAGAATCCGAAGGCTAAAGCAACAAAAAGCAAACTGCAGAAAGTTAAACACGCCGGCAAAAACCGAAGAGGTTTTGGTATTTTAAAATGCTCACACTTCCTGTCCATGTTTATACTATACTGTTCTATAATCCTATTTTATTTCTACACTGTTTTCTTGAAGGAAAATGCTAAGTACTTACAATGCTAAGAAATCACGCAATGAAAAGATAATAATGACACTTAATTGTATTCTCATATCAGAAATATCTCCAACCGTAAACCATTCACTCCACAAACACGTTTCACAGTAACCTGGCAGCGAAACATGTTCAGGAAAATGGATAGCTATTCTCCAGGGGGAGTGATTTAAAATACTTTATAATATAATAAACTTCATAACTTTATAATACATAGCGAACAATGTGGTAGTTCATGTCCCTAGAAGTGTTGCTATTGTATTTAAGAAAACAATACAGAACTGCCTGCAAATAGAACAGTTTAAGAAAATCCTGAAATCTATCATTATCCGCGTTCCGGCGTTCTGCTGTGCCGGGTTTTCAGACTTTCAGACGTTTTTATCTACCTTTTTACTTTTCAGAGTGGAATCAGCTTCTGCTTTCTCCGTGAGAAAGATACATTATCTTGAAGCAGCAAAGGGTTGAGGCGGCAGGCCGGTATTAGTTCCGAGGCGAGCACAGGTGTGCACAGTGGAGATCGCCTCTAGGTCGTGGTTTGCGGTCCGGCGTGCGCGGCGCTCTGCAGTTCCTCCGTCAGCCAGCTGGGGGCAGCGGTGTGCCGGCTGGGCTCCCCGGCTCCCTCGGCCGCGCCGGCGCTCATGCGGGCTGACACACGGCATTAATCATCCTCTCCCTCCCCGTCGCAGCCCCCTTCTGCTAATTAGCCGTAAATAAATAAGTGATTACAGCGAAGCCACAGAACCTGTCAGCTCGCATCTCGGCAGTTCCGCCACACGCATACCGTTCCCTGACGAAGTCACGCCGTGCGCTACTGTGGACCCAGTTCTCAGTTCCCCTTCTCTCCCGGCCACGTCACCGACCCGCAGTCCCTAGTTCTGCCTGAAGAGGCGTTAAAACTATTGAGGGAGGTAGCGGAGATTCCTGGGGAAGAAAAACAAAGTCACCTTTTGCCAAAGCGTTTGACATCGTCGAGACCGAAACGCGTGTCCTCACCCTGTTGGTGTCGCTGTCCGGCCGCCCGGTGGCGCAGTGGCGGAGCTGGGATCCGTTTCCTGGGGTGCTGTCTGTGTGGAGTCTGTCTGCTCCCCTCGAGTTCTCCTGTGTTTCTTCCCACAGTCCAACACACACGCTGCTGGGCTAATTGGTGTCGGGGATAATCGGCGATATTAGCAAAAGCAACGTTCCCTCTAATTCTTAATGGCCCGTGGGCGCAAACATTTCAAGTTGTGCACATCCCCCCCCGACTAAACTTTGTGCGCACTAAATTGAGTGGATGTAAAATTGTAAACCCGAAATTATTGTTTGTTAATATAGTCACTCTCAGAGAAGCACAGGGATC